CTCTACTCAACATCATCTTATTCATATTATTATCAACCCATACAGCGAATGAAAATTTGCAATCCCCACAAGCACCTATGCCGTTCTTGTTATCGAGACCCTTATTTGAGTCATTCTGCTGTCGACTCGGCAATAAATCTTGCCATAAAGTCTGGTTATATTTATTGTTGCGAATGCTAAAAGATTGCGAATGACCGAACGGGAACTCATACGAATTTACTATGAGTGAATTTTTACCGCCGAAGTGTGGACGTTGATGGTTTCCTCTGAAAACACTTCACTTTAAGCTTGTTCTCAAAGTTGTAATGGGTTATACATGTAGATGAAGCAAGTATACTTCTCTACTAAGAAAGCTATTCTTATCGTTCTTGTCTGACTATCTCTCAATTTCCCGCCCCCTTGAATATAAAAAATCTGATTGAAAGGTGAAAGGTGTAGCCAGATGAAGAGTGGAGTCTGAAGTTTTTGGTGGTATAACACCCGCTCCTGGGATCCTCCCGCGCCGCACTCCCTTCCTGTTCGTGTACTGTACCGTAAGAAGAAGGACAGAAGGACACAGAATTCTGAAATTGCCCAAGTCCTGTTTTTTATTGACGACTGCAATTCCCAGCCGTAGAAGAAGAGTGAGACGAGGTAAGCGAGGAGGAGCGGGAGGGGATGGGGGAAGTCAGAACTAAACGTAAGGTAGGTTGTCCTCAAGTATCAAGAGAGTGAAAGGACCCAATAAGAAACAGAGAATTCAATACACTGCGAATAGTTTGGATGAAAGACGAGGGGGGCACAAAGAGAAGTAAGAGAATGCTTGTGAGAATCTATTTATCAGTGTGTTTGTTTATCAGTGGCCTTCGTTCAGAAACCCTCGACAACATCTGGCCACAGAAAAACTCGGGTCATATCACCAACTGTCACTAAATTAATGTTGAGTTTATGCCAATCTCTCACAGCGACGGCCAACTGAATGTCTCAATCTCTTCGCAGACTCAATGGCATAAATTTAATACTAGCATAAACACTGTTTCTCGACACAGACTGTGTTTCTTTTTGAGAATCCGAACGACATGTTCCGTGGAGCATTGCCTCATTGTTTTCTAAATGAGGTAGTGATACAACGTCTGCGGGGATTTTTCCAAGCTTCAAGGAATGCCCGAACACGACTGTTATTCGTGGTAGCTAGAAAAGGAACAAATACGTTTAAGAGATTGGCGCATCGAAGCTAAAGAGATTAGGTTTGGAAGAAATCAGATCAGAGTCTTGAAATTTTCCACAACGTTTCTTACTGAGGCTAGGATTCGTGGACGCTTTCACATCACGTTTAAAAATGGCTCCAGAATTACTGACAGCAGCTAATTTTCAAACGATAGGAACGACGCGCTTCCGGGGCGATGGCACAGCCCACTGCGATTTCGAGGTGGAAACGTTTCAACCTTGCAGTTCTTCTTCTACAAGCAGATTTTATTCATTTCTCAATGGCTGGTCTCAGTTGCATTCAAGTGTAGACGTGCGGTAAAGTAACCCAAACAGCAAAGCTGTTGTCTGGTATAGAAGCGTGGCCAAATAAGTCTAAGTCCAACTTTTTCATGCGGGTCACCTTGGGGACTTGACCCTCTCCACAACTCAGCCCATGCCTCGTCCTAGGCCTCTTGAATAAACTTTACACGTCATTGTCACATAAGTTGATTGCTAAGTGCACATTACGTCAAAAAATGCTAGTTCCACATTCTCTGACATCGTGAAAAACAGGCAAGTTTGGCGTTCCGCTGCATGGAAACATGAAGAGCGGCTATGAGCAATCACGTTATGGTTTAGGAATCTGCCAACCTGGTTAGACACTGTCAGCCAGCATGATGAAGTTGTGTTGTCAAATAATGGGGTAAGCCAACCTTTTCTTTTTCCAACAAAAAAAATCTCCCTTCTAGGCCATAGGGGAGGTCTTTCAAAATCGAGTCAGTGCACTACAAAAAGTATAGTCATAGTTAGTCGGTTGGATAGAATATATCGTGAGCAGCACCAAGAGGCGCATTCCCACAATGAAGGACTGCTTACTGCGTCGACTAGGGACAGCTAAGCAATGACCCAACGCTCAGTGGTTGCCTGTAGGTACTATTGTACTCTGTGATCGCTTCGAACACGGAAATGGTCTTGTACAGTGCCTGACAGTACAGAATCATGTCTAAGGTGTCAATTACCAGAAAATCTGATAAACTATGGGTGTTTGGCCGATGGCAATTGAGAATGGCTATCGAGTAGTAGCCCTACTCAGTGGGCGTCTTCGATTGGCATAGCCAGTTGTGACAAAAGTTAAATTGCCCTTCTAAAAAAGAGCAAATCAACGTAATAGGGTCGTTGTCGGGTTACCATAGGAATAACAGCGCTATTAAAATTGGTCATAAAAACGGGCCGAAATAAGGTCCGACTTTCATTACATTCCAGCCATTTGAACTTTTTACTCTGCAGAAACCCGTATAATTGACAAACAAACAACAAAAATGAAATTAGACTTCTACAGTCTATAGTTTAAGTAATGGCTCAGTCGTTTTGGTGGGTAAGGGTAGGGGAACACATTTTCGAAACTTAGGAAAAGATAGTAAATGATAAATTAACTGGCTTCCTGTTCTTGTTTCATTCGTAAGCATTACCTCGAGAATAAAAAAACTGCTCACTTCTTCGTTCTATTTTTTGAATCGTGTTCGCTAGATCCGTTCAATGTTTTTATCCAATAAAACCTTAAAAGTCACAGCCACAAATTTCTATTAGGCAGCTGTGATGTTAGCACCTGGTGCGAATGCACTTTCTTCCACCGCCCCTCCCTACACCCCTACCCTAAAGGATTCAGCTGGACTTGCACTTCGAGAAAACTACTTGTGATAGGGACACTCGGTGATCAGCTGCTAATCGACTCCCCTGACAAAACGACTTGCAGGGGCTTCACAATAAAGAAACCGGTGTTTCCGGCCTCCTACATAGAAGTGGTATTAATCCGGATATTCAGAAGAGATTTCATCAAGGATCCAGATGTCATCCTTCAGTCTTTTTACAAAACAACTCATAGAGTGTTGCTCCCTGCTGACTAAAAAAAGTAATTTGAGGTTCAACTCCAATTCCCCCTTTTAAAAAACCTAGCTTTTTAGGATGCTTGAAGAAAATCAAACATTCAATTGGAAAACCATTCAAAAACGATATATACTTAGAGCTTTGCCGAGCGCTTTCCAGACTTTCGTCTTCACCACTACACATTCCCATGTACCAATGAATCTAGTGTGCACCTCTTAATGCAATACGTCCAGTGTGGCTTGAAGTAGTGACCACTTTGTCTAATTCAATCTCGTCCAAAAACGCTCCTCCTTCTAAGTTGATGCTAATCATCCCGACCGTGGCCCTCTCCCATTCACCATTTCCAGTACTATCGAGTAGAATAGCTTCATGTGATCGTTTTCAAAAATTCAAACTTAGTATATGAAGATGGTTGAACTAGTATGCCCACTTGCAAGACCTGATCACACCCATTCCATTCGACCACCGTTCACCAATGCATAAAAGTGAAGGAAATATGAAACATAA